GGATCGGGTTATATTTAACCCAACTCATACACGAGATATTCCACATTTAATAATTTAGATATTTAAAAGATTTGATTAAGATTTAGAATTATGATTCTCCTATCATCTTTGTTTGATTTGTTTTTAACTGTTCTGAATCATCATATAATACATAAAGTAAAAACAAATCACAGTACGGGTTAAGAAATTACAGGACGGGTTATATTTCAGAACGGGGTTATATGGTAGACGAGTTTGAATCAATATTTATAAAATTTTAAAATAGAATTAACATGCGGCTTTAATACGAGTTAAATCCTCAGTTTATTAAAATATAAATGTTTTAGAGAATGATACAATTTATAAACTTTTATATATAATAAATAATCATTAAATTTTAAAATCACTACTTTTAAAAAATAAATCACAAGACGGGTTAAGAAAATTATGGGACGGGTTATATTTCGGAACGGGTTTATATGGCGGACGGCTTTGAATCAATATTTATAAAATTTTAAAATATCATTAACATGCGGCTTTAATACGGGTTAAATATTCAGTTTATTAACAATTGTCCCGTGGACTCGTGGTATACGTTACTTAATAACAATTGTAAACTATAAAATATAAATATTTTATAAGAAGATACAATTTACAAAATTTTATATATACTAACTTTAAAAAATAAATCATCCCGCGGTGTACCGCGGGTTAAAATCTAGTTAGGATTATATCACCAAACCGAGATAGAGACATCTCTTGATTATTACACAACCAGTCTTCTTCACTTCTTGTTCTTGTCTTTGCACAAAAGTGGTGACGGTGTATGTAACGCCCCCGAACCGCTCTATGACCAAGCAAGCCACGGGCGACCCGGAAACATCACGTAGATAGCTCGCACAGACGTTCCAACAGAGGTTCCAAACGAATTCAGACCCTTAGCCGGACCATCCACGCGGGCCGTCCCTCACGAACGCGGTTTAGGCTTTTCAACCCTTACCGTGATCGCGAGTTGTGTTAGTCCGGACAAGACTAATATCGTTTGGAAACACACACTTTATATGAAAATACTCATTTATATCATATAAACTTTTCGTACAACAAGTATCCAAAACACAAACACTTACGGGCCCTCAAGCTTACACGCTCAAATCAAAATAACAACGGAAATCTACTAAGGTTTACAAAAGCAACAACTCTATACCGGCTTTCCTACGTCCTGAGCATCCCTCTAATGGTTCCCACTGAGGTTTCCTGCAAAACAAAATGGAGTCATAAGTAATCTAAGATTACTTAGTGAGCTCGGATTCCCTGCAACACATTACAATTCCAACCCAATCCCCAACAATATCAATAAGCATAAACGATATACAAATATATCCGAGAATGCACGCGGAAGCAATAACAAACAATCAAACAAGATGCATGCTTACACGGAACAAGTCCGTATAACAAGATAATAAAATTATGCATGCGACACCATTCATCTAGACTCCTCCTATGGGCCCTGATATGTTGCCTTCCATAACCACAAGTGAACACCCGAGCTATAACCATAAAGGTATATAACCGGAACATCACTTCCTGTGAACACCCGTGCTATAACCACAAAGGAATATAACCGGAACATCACTTAAAACTCTCAAGTTGAACCTATAAAGAATAACAACAAGAGAAATCTATGCATCGTCATGCATTACTCGGCCTAGGTCCCGAGTCTTATGTCAATTTATGTAAGTGACCAGCTAAAGATCAAGGCTTACTTGACATGCCGCCGAGGAAGGACAGACATACCCCTAGTTTTAATATGCTTAAGGCACCGGACATTAAGTCACGAGTACCGCATACTAAGAATGCAACACACAAGATACAATGAAACATATGGTTAGATATAACACATAGATTCATATGTATCTAATACAAATAACCACACAAGTACGGAATCATTTATGTACGGATCACAAGGATCGCGAACATGATTCGGTACCAAACCTGCATAGAGATTCAAGTTAATCAACTAAGGATAAAACGAGAATCTAACATGCAACCTCACACCTAAACGCACACAACCAAGCAATTGCTCGATGATACGCCTAAGCACATCACCGAGACTTGCCAATCAACAATCAATAAACACAATAGCCACCCAAACCTATCATGTGCCATATCACATGCTACGAGACTCACCAATCAATCAACTAAACGAACTAATCAATCAACCAACCCTAACATGTGCCATATCACATGCTTCGAGACTCACAGAGATTCGGCTGAAGGCTTAACACGGTTAGGCTTCAACGATCTTCAACATCCACGGCTTCACAACCTTGTTCTTGACTCCACTCAACTTTATTCAACACCTCTTCATAGCAATCACCTTGATTCTTCAATGTTTAACTCAGAATCAACCCTTAGAAATAGTATCAAGATGGTAACTAGATCATGGGAATGATTCAGAGAAAACAGACCTTGCCGTCGGATCAGATTTCTCGGCAGGATTCTCGATCAGATAGCATCACGACACAGTTTTCTCGATCACAGACGCGGATCGTCACGGATTTCTCGATCACAACAGCATCGCGGTATGGATTTCTCGATGACGGCTCTCGGTCATTCCTCTCGACTCCGCAGCAGTATCTCCGTATTTTTTCCTCCTTTTCTCTCCAAATAACTCGAACAAGGCTGAGTATTTATAGGCAGCGGAGGGTTGAGTCAGCACGTACGCGTGTCAGCCATACGGACAGACACGTACGTACTGCGGACAGAACGACGACACGTGTCCGGGGCAGCTTCGGCTCCAAGGGACAAGTCTTCGGCTCCACTCCTTAGAAATTTGGCTCCAAGCTACGAGACTTGGGCTCCAAGTCAGCTTGGTCGCGAGTCGTAACTTGGTCAACGGTCGGTCAACGGGTCACGGTACGTACCGCGGTACGGTCGTTTCCGTCCGATCGGTAGGTTTCTCGACCCAAATCCATAATTCCTCAATCATCCTCCGTTCAAACGACCTTAAATTAGATATTGGTCGGATAAAAATCAATCTTGCTCGACAAATTCGTTACGGAATCATCCGATGGTCGATATGTACTTTGCGGTACATCCCGCGGTACGATCGCTGTCGTCCTGTGGTACGGTCGGGTTCGTCCGGGTATATCCGGATACGTCCGGGTACGTCCGGATACGTTCGGGTACTTAGGACTGATCGATCATTCACGTTCACTGGTAGGCTCCTTCGATCAAATTCGATTTTCTCTCGTCCCAACTTAATTTTTGCTCGGCCAATCTCCTTTATTCTTCTTTCTAAGTTCTTTTTGAGCTTCCTTTCATCATTTCTTGCACGGCCATTTACCCTAAAACGAGGGTCACTACATTCTACCCACCTTATAAGAATTCGTCCTCGAATTCTAATGCTTCTCAACGATCCTCTTCGATAAACTTCCTCTTCTCCTTCTTCTCTTCTTCATCTTTTACACCTACTTCGTTTTCTAGAAATAACGGCTTGGTAAACCGTTGGTACTTCTCCATCCTCTGATTTTCGTTTGACCGGATTGCTTCTTGCATTATCTCGGCTAACGATAAATTTTCTTCCTCAACCTCGATGGTAATGGATTACTCCAAGGTGGAGATAATCCTTCCACAATCTTCTTACGTCTGGATTACTCCAAGGTGGAGATAATCCTTCCACAATCTTCTTACGTCTTCAACGCTTTACCCCATGAAACTCCTCCATCCTTGGCGATCCTTGAATCAACGGCAACATAAAAGTTGGAGTGATTAGGAAAGCTTCTTCATCTCCGGCACTTCTTCATATCCATCGCACTTACAAAAGTATACTAGGGCTGTTCCCAGAGTATACTACAACTAATACTTCGTCTTGACAGATTCTTCTTGAACACTGAACCTTGACTAACTGAACTTCACGCTTCTTGAGTATCATTAGCTGATCGGCTGAGAAGACTCTTCTCTGTTGACCACTGATACTTGAACAACTCACTTCTCTACTCTAAGGGATTGGCTTCGGGGAATAATTCAATTTTCTAACTGACTATTCCAACTATGAAGACACCCTTAAAAACTACACACAAACTCGGAAGTGCAAAATCACTTGACACTACGGAGTTTACTACACCCAACACAAATGCAAATGCATGCATAATAATAAATTTAAGCAAGCAAGCATTCAATCAATCACGCAACCAATCACACAATCACATCAGGAGATTAGATAGAACCCATACGTACCTCACATGAGACCTTTAAGGTCAAGAAGGCTTAGGGTAAATCTATTTCTAAGGATTAACCCACTAACTTACTTGACAACTTCACGACTTCTCGATCCTTGGACTGGCCGGGGTGGACGGACCGCTGATGGCTCCTTTCAACTTACTCACAAAATGTCTTGACTGCTTCATAATTTCTCAACTACTTCTTCAACTCCAACTTCTCTTCTGACAACGAACTTTTTCCTTGGTTCATTCTTTTCGTATCCATAGTCATTCCCATTAGCTCTACTTCACCAATCTTCACTTGGATAGATTTTATTTTTAATCTTCCATCACGCTATATCCTTCTCCGATATCAACTTCACAACTTTGCCACTTCTCGATTTCTCCGTACACGATGCCCGTCTCTTGCCAACTAAATACGCATGTCATTTGTTTGCATATGCGCATTTTTGCTTCACTCCTCTCTTTCAACACCAACTTCACTACTTCATCTTATTGGTCATTGTCTTCACTATCTCTGGATGACTAGAATCCGATCGTTCTTTTCCGTCGCTACCACTACCTTCAGTTTTTATTCCTCTCCTTCCAAAGGCTTCACCTTAACGTTTCTTAAATTTGTCACACTTTGCCAACGACTTTCTCCTCAAGTCATGGACCTTTAGGATTTGATTTCGTGCTCACCCAACGACATCTCAATGAAAAACTTCCCTTAAAACTTGGATTCTCCTTTGAATCTTACTTGTTTCCTTGGCTCTCCGTTACATCTCTCTCGATTACCCGCACTTCCGCTACGATCTCCTTTCGTGCCTATTCTTATTTCTTGCAACAAATTATCCTCGTCGTTGCTTCAGCTCATCACACCTTCTTTATCAACTTCTATTCTTCAACTCTTGGATCTTTCATCTCTTAAACCCTTAGCTTGCTTTCCCGACTCCCATCCATTTCTTTAAACATAATCTGCCTCCGATTAAGATTCTTCTTCCTCTTGAACATCCTCCGATATTAATCCTTACACTCTGGCTCTTCGCCCTTTACCACTTCTTACTCTTTCACCACTTTGGTTTCTTCCTTCTCCGATTGTCTCCATAATTCCTCCTTTATGATTCTTCGATTTCTTCTCCAACATCTCACTCACTCCTCCACTTGCCCTCACTTGAGTTACAAGCTCACGTTACTGAGCTCGGCCAAAGTCCTTCAATACTTAAAAAAATCTTGGTTGCAGTCCCCCACGGCCATCCATTCTTGATCCAAATCCAACGCACCAACTACAACAAAACAAAGGTAATACCTAACCCATTCCCCACTAACTCAGGACATACCGGTTTACCTAGTTGCTTTTGCGACTCAGTTTACTCGATAAAACCTTTGAAAAACGTGTGTCCCGTGAGCATCATGAACCATGCTCTGATACCACGCTTGTAACGCCCCCGAACCGCTCTATGACCAAGCAAGCCACGGGCGACCCGGAAACATCACGTAGACAGCTCGCACAGACGTTCCAACAGAGGTTCCAAACGAATTCAGACCCTTAGCCGGACCATCCACGCGGGCCGTCCCTCACGAACGCGGTTTAGGCTTTTCAACCCTTACCGTTATCGCGAGTTGTGTTAGTCCGGACAAGACTAATATCGAATAGAAACACACACTTTATATGAAAATACTCATTTATATCATATAAACTTTTCGTACAACAAGTATCCAAAACACAAACACTTACGGGCCCTCGAGCCTACACGCTCAAATCAACATAACAACGGAAATCTACTAAGTTTTACAAAAGCAACAACTCTATACCGGCTTTCCTACGTCCTGAGCATCCCTCTAATGGTTCCTACTGAGGTTTCCTGCAAAATAAAATGGAGTCATAAGTAATCTAAGATTACTTAGTGAGCTCGGATTCCCTGCGACACATTATAATTCCAACCCAATCCCCAACAATAACAATAAGCATAAACGATATCCAAATATATCAGAGAATGCACGCGGAAGCAATAACAAACAACAAACAAGATGCATGCTTACACGGAACAAGTCCGTATAACAAGATAATAAAATTATGCATGCGACACCATTCATCTAGACTCCTCCTATGGGCCCTGATATGCTGCCTTCCATAACCACACGTGAACACCCGAGCTATAACCATAAAGGTATATAACCGGAACATCACTTCCTGTGAACACCCATGCTATAACCACAAAGGAATATAACCGGAACATCACTTAAAACTCTCAAGTTGAACCTACACTACAAGAAAACAGGTGATTTGCGTGGAAATATTGCCAGGAACAATATGCCTCGCTATATAGCGTGTAATGAGCGTGGAAAAAGCGTCGAAATGTCATTCGATGCTATTTCGTCGCTACTTTGCGTGGAATTTGTTCGTCGCAACTTTTGCGTGTATTTAGCGACGAATATGAGTGGAACTTGTGAATTCGTCACAAACGCTACGCAAATAAGCGACGAATTTGCATGGATGGATTCGATGCAAAGTTGCGACGCATTTGAGACGATTTTATAGTGGTTGGTGAGAAACGTTTTAAAAATGTGCCACCTACTTTGCCTTTCCTCGCATTTTCGTCGCTAATAAACCACGCAAAAACCTCGCAAATATATTTTGTATGCCTATATAAACCGACGTTGTGATGAGTAAATGGATAAGAAACAACATATTCTCTATTCAAAATTAAACATTCTTCTTTGAATCTTTTCTTCAAAGTTTTTGTATTTTTTAATCTTGGAGTTATATATATATATATAATATATATGTCGTCGTCTCACGAGATTTATATTCGGCGGGAGTGGATGTATAAGCACAAAGATTCCGATAGATCGGTGACACGGGAGTTTGCAGATGGGTTAGAAGAATTCATGATAACCGCAAATCAAATGCCACTGACGCAAGAAACTGGTAACATGTCTTGTCCATGTCGAAAGTGCAAAAATAGTCGATATTTTTCGGTCAAAACCGTCGGAAAGCATTTATATAATAGAGGGTTCATGCCAAATTATTATGTTTGGTTTTGGCATGGTGAAGGAAATATGGTGAATGCATCGTCTAGTAATGCTAGTTTTCAACATGAAGAGGAACCTCATATTAATTTTGAGCATCAGCAGTTTGATTATAGTCAACCAAATCATAATAGTTTTCATGATATGGTCCATGATGCATTTCATGAAACGGCAACATTCTCTGATAACCTCGAGGAGCCTAATTTAGATGCTCAATAATTTTATGATATGTTAGATGCTGCAAATCAACCAATCTACGATGGATGTAGAGAAGGAATGTCTAGATTATCACTTGCATCTAGAATGATGAACATAAAAACAGATAACAACTTATCTGAGGTTTGCATGGATTCATGGGCTGAATTAATTAACGAGATATTGCCAGAGGATAATTTAGCTCCTGAGTCATATTATGAGATACAAAAGTTGGTATACAGTCTTGGGTTGCCTTCAGAGATGATAGATGTTTGCATTGATAATTGCATGATATTTTGGAAAGAAGATGATCAATTGCAGGAATGTCGATTTTGTGGAAAGCCAAGATATAAGCCAAGTACAGGACGAACGAAGATCCCGTACCAACGTATGTGGTATCTTCCAATTACGGATAGGCTTAAAAGACTATATCATTCAGAAAGGACATATGCGTCAATGAGATGGCATGCTGATCATTCACGTACAGAAGGTGAGGTGACACATCCATCAGATGCGAAAGCTTGGCAACATTTTAACACGGTACATTCAGACTTTGCAAGAGAGAGTAGGAATGTTTATCTTGGTCTATGCACTGACGGTTTAGTCCATTTGGTATGTCCGGTAGGCAGTATTCTTTGTGGCCGGTAATAGTGACACCATACAATCTACCTCCAGATATGTGTATGCAACGGGAATTTTTATTCTTGAGTATTTTAGTGCCCGGTCCTAAGCATCCTAAACGTTCTCTTGATGTTTTCTTACAGCCTTTGATCAATGAGTTACAACAGCTTTGGTATACCGGAGTTGATACATTTGATTACTCACAGCAACAAAACTTTACAATGCGTGCAGTGCTCATGTGGACCATAAGTGATTTTCCTGCATACGGAATGCTATCAGGTTGGACTACACATGGTAGATTATCTTTTCCATATTGCACTCATCGAACAGATGCATTTCAACTGAAGCATGGTCGTAAGACAAGCTGGTTCGATTGTCATCGTCGCTTTCTTCCGATGAGTCATCCGTACAGGAAGAACAAAAAGTTATTTATGAAGAACAAAGTTGTTCGTGCACCTCCACCTGTATATATCTCTGGGGAAGCCTTGGTTGAGCAGATAGATTATTGGGGTGCTCAAGAAACAGTTACATGTGGGGGTAATTGGCACATCCCCGCAAATATGCCAGATGGATATCTGGTTAATCACAATTGGCACAAGAGAAGCATTTTTTGGCAACTTCCTTATTGGAAGGATCTTCTGTTGAGGCACAACCTTGATGTAATGCATATCGAAAAGAACTTTTTTGATAACATGATGCATACAGTTTTGAACGTGCAGGGACGTAGTAAAGACAACTTAAAAACGAGACTGGATTTGCCCGATATATGTTCGCGACCAGAGTTGCATCTTACGAGAGATGGGAAGCTTCCAGTTCCAATCTTTCGATTATCTACGGAGGCAAAGTCAGCGCTTTTTGAGTGGATTAAATCAGATGTCAAGTTTCCAGATGGTTATGTGTCTAAACTTTCGAAGAATGTTGAGCAAGGACAAAAGTTTTCGGGGATGAAAAGCCATGATTGCCATGTCTTTATGCAGCGCCTATTGCCTTTTGCTTTCACAGAGCTATTACCGAAAAATGTCCATGAGGCAATCGCAGGTATATGTGATACATAATTTGATTAGTTTAACCATATATATAATTACATAATTAACACAATCATTTTCATAACTTGTTATGATTGCAGGTATTGGAACTTTCTTTCGTGACCTTTGTACACGAACTCTTACAGAAGACAGAATAAATCAACTAGATAATAGCATTCCGATCTTATTGTGCAACCTCGAGAAAATTTCTTCTCATTTTTCCTCCTACTACTTTCCGCCTGCAGTTCGAACCCGGAAAAGGGCCCCAAGACGGTATGATGATGGTGGTGTGGCACCTGTATATCCTGTTTCAGGTGTTCCTGATATATTCGCACAAGTTGGAAGACTTAGTGGAAAACTTAAAGAAGTTTGGTGGTCATCTGATAAAGATCGTCAAAGTGCACACACATATATTCTTCGCAATTGTGAATACGGTCAACCATTTGAAAGGTATTCTTTGGTACAATATATTTTATTAATATTTAAATATATCATTGCTAACTAGTTCATTCTGTATTTATGTTTGCAGTATTTTCATAACACAAGTGAAAGAAACATTTCCCGATATATCTGAGAAAGAAATAGAGAAGCTAAGAGACAAAGACTTTGCAGGATGGTTAAAACATTATGTAGAATAACTTATCTATCGTCGGTTTTTTTTAGTTATTTAATTTTAATTAAGTGATATTTTTTAGTCTAATTAGTCATTTTGTCTTCTACAGGTACAATATGGGACAGAGACATATCCTGTTTGGTTTCATGAGTTGATCCAAGGCCCTATCGCGCGGATTACAACTACACCAATGTACTTCACTCGTGGATATGCTTTTCATGTGAAAGCTCATGGTCAAAATCGGACAACACCAAACTTTGGTATTTTAGTTAGTGGCGAAACAGGTTACTACGGAGTGCTGCAGGAAATCATAGAAGTAAAATATCCTGGGTTGGTTAATTTGAAGTGCATATTATTCAAATGTGATTGGTACGATCCTGTTATCGGCCGCGGTGTGAGGAAAAACAATCTCGGCGTTGTTGATGTCAATGCATCTCGAAGGTATCAAAGATTTGAACCTTTCATCCTTGCCGCTCAAGCACAACAAGTTAGTTTCATTCCATATCCGAAGATTCGGCAAACTGGGTTATCATGGTTATCTGTCATTCAAATTTCACCTAGAGGACGTATTGTTGGAGTCTCTGATGAAGTACCATTACAAAACACACAAGGAGAGATCCATGTTCCAGAACATGCACTAGAAAGCATCATACTTATTGACCAGAACAATCGGGAACTAGAAGAACCTGGTGATTATTCGGAAGTCGAAGATGAAGTCTATGATGAGTTTGATGAGGATTCGGAATCATATGATAGTGGTTCTGATGATGAAGATTGTGAGAATTAATATGATTGTATCTTTCTATTATGAATAATAAAGTTTGAATTTTTTTCCTTTCCAAAAATTATCTTGAATAAGAAGATGTTCCTTATTCACATATATGTTATCTAGTACTTAGATCTCAAATACATAAATTTGAATTTTTTTTTTTTTGACCAAAACCATTCATTATGAGATATCCTACAGTATAAATACATTAGTTTGATCAATATCAATAAGTAAATCTCCATTAAAAGCATATCTTATTATAGTTTGCGAGGAAATTGCAATGAATTAGCTTCGAACCCTCGTAAATTCCTCGCAAAGTTTCAAAAAATTTTTTAAAATTTTCAGACAATGCGATGAAAATTGCGACGAGTTTTTGGGAATTCGTCGTTCAGTTTTTTTATTTGCGACGAATTAGCGTCGGCGCGTCGCAATAAAATTGCGGGAAAACACGCGCTAAAGAGTTGGCCAAAATTTCGGCAAAATATTGGCGTCACGTTTGCGAGGAATTGGCGAGGCTAAACAATTAATATGTTCCAGAAACGTCTCCACTTCCTCCTCTTATTTCTTTGTCTCTGCGATTCCCAGATGCTCTCATCTTATCTCTGGGTTGGATAATTTCTCCTCAATTACTTTGTTCTTCTGAATCTGCTTCTCTAATTCCTTTCTTTGATTCCCAGTTTATCTTCTTCTCTCTTTGGGTCTCAAATTCTCAATTCCTCCTCACTATCTTGGTCCCCAATTCTCCTCTTCTCGAATACTCCCTACCGATCCTTGTAAAAACACTCTAATCTAAAGGTTGTTTCTTGACATGGGTTTTGTTTCTTACTTCAGTCGATCGTTTGTTGAATTGTTTATGAGAGTTTTTAAACTCAATTTTTTTCCTCGATTTGGCCTATTTGGTACTTAGGGTTTGTAATCGCTGATGTTATGCATATTAGAGATGGAAATTTATGTTCGTTTGATGCTTCTTTGCTGGTCAATCGGTTGTTTGTAATAGGTTTTGATTGTATCTTGATTCAGACTTATTGTATTGTCGTAACTTGATGTTTCTTCTTTTTTTACTGTTTTAGATTGTTAGTCGATGGTTCTCTGCTCTATGTCTTGCCTTCTTTTTCTCTGTGTTGTTGTTTCATATCTCTTCCATGTTTATTTCCTGAATCTTATATACAAAATTTACTACCTAGGTGATTTTATTGCTTTGTTCTGTGAGCTGTTTCATTCACTCATGGTACAAGTAAAGGCTTAGAGCTGATTAGAGATTTGATTGCTTTGTTTCAATGGCATGTTTCAATTTATTTGCTTTCACTTTCGTTGTTGGTTTATTACTTTGGTTTCAAAGCCTTGTTTCATTATTACTCGATTGTTCCTTTTGCAATATTGATTTTGGATACGTATAATAGATATTATTTGATAGTTCTTGGTGTTTATAATTGTAGATGGAGGGAAGGGGTCATTATAGACAGTACAGGAGTAATGGAGGACGGTCTACTGCTGCTACGACTTCACGGTCCTCTCCTCATTCGACCACACGATCTTCTCCTACTACAACTTCACAGTTGCCACGGACCCCATCCTTGTCACCAAACTCCACTCCAGTTCAATAGACAGATCAGTCTTCTACTCAGGCTCCTTCCCCACCTGAAGCTCAAGCGCATTACGAAATGGGACAGTTAACACTCGAGGAGCTTCTTGTAAGCCCGGGACGGGCTGGACTTACAAAATTAGACCCTAAGCGTCCCCCAGGAACACAATGGTAGCGTCTTTACTTGTATTCTGTGTATTTTCAATACAGTGACAACATTTAATTACTAACTTTTGTTGTTTTCTATAGGTTTGAGATCGATAATGAAGTTGGGAAGGTGGTCTCCAATTGTATAAAAGGATTCTTCACTGAACCACACGCCAACATCTCACAGACACCTAAGAAGATTGTTGACACTTGGTTTCATATGTTTGCGGTAATTGATTAGAGTTTTGATTTTTTATTTGTTGAAGTAGTTTGTAATGTGTTCTTCCTGTATTGATTAATTTTATTTCCTTGTTCACAGCAACAATACAACTGGGACAACTCAATTAACGTTTTGGTGAAGAGGCAATTTACAATTAAGGCAGGCATCCGCTTGTGTGATATAGTTAGCAAGTGGAAAAGTAAGTGGAAGACGTTAGGTGATAAAGCAATGCCTATGTGGATGGATCCAGAGGTATGGAAGGGCCTCAAAGTTTTTTGGATTGATCCACATTCAGAAGATAAAAGTGGTAAGTGTTCTAAAGCTCGCAACACAAGCGTGGGCGGTCACGGCCCGAGTAAACACACCTCAAGGCAGAAGACTTATGCACGTCGTGCATTAGAAAGCGTTAGTATTTTCTGCTTTTCACATTTAATTTCATATTCCAGTTTCTTGATAATGATTATTATTTTAACTTTCATGTAGGCTGAGAAGAATGGAGGTGTACTCCCTCCAATTGTCGAGATAATGGAGCAGACTCACAAGAGAAAGAATGGAGTTTTCGTTGACGGTTTAGCTGAGCAAATCTGCAAAGAAGTTTCAGCCAAGATTGCAGAGCGGGAGTCTCAGCTCTCTCCAGGACACTCTGACCAGCCTGGTGGCCTATCCATAGCTGAGAAGAACAATATCTTGTTGGAGGTATTATTTTTTAACTCTCTTAGTATATAGATATGCACCTACTTGCTTATTCACATATAGCCTATTTATTTTTCAATCTTGTTTGAGTTCTTTGAGTCTTCTTCAATCTTCATCATCGTTTTAATATCATATCTATCTATATCATTGAACATTTGGCTATTAAGATCAGAGGTGCAATAGTTTAATGATGGTTTAAGTGGAATTTTAAGTAATGTTCTGTCTAAAGCTATGTGGTTTTGCTGACATATCTCTTTCTTATATTGAATACATATCTGTTTCTTTTTTTGTGTGTGTGACATACGCCTGTTTTTGGTGTTGTTTAGACTTTTGTGATATGCATCTTCTTCTAAGTTATGATATGCATCTTCTTCTAAGTCACTATTTTATCTTCTGGTTTTGTTATCTATTCAAATTTCCTTCCCCATGTTTTTTCCAGGCTGCTCCAAAGAATAAAAAGGGACGGATTTATGGTGTTGGTTCTATTCAAGTTATCCCATCTGCTTCATCATTTGATCCTCCACATACTTCAGATGATGATGTCGATCGGCAAACCTATGAAGCGGAGAGAAAACGAAACAACGACCTTCTTACACGGATCCATGGCTACGATTATCTCTTTGACATTGTAGCGCAAGATTTTCCAGCTCTAGCAACAGCACTTAGGGCTCAGAGACCTCCAACGCAGGGAGCAGAAGCCCAAACAGAGGAACCACAACACCAAACAGAGGAAGCTGCAACAGCTCAGGGTACTCCTCAAGCATGATCCCATTATTTTGGGTTTTTTTTTGTTGTAGTATAAACCTAAATCTATCGGCAACATTACTTTTTGTCAATATCAAACTATTTTAGTTTTAATCAATGTTAATTACTATTTGCTTTTGATTTCAGTTTAATTTCGTGTTAATTTTAATTACGGATTAAAACAAGAAAAAAACCTAATTTGTGAAACTGGATTAAAATTGGATTCAAGAACTATATCCATCGTAATTTGCATATTTGTTGCTAACTAGCGACGCGGTTACGAGGAATACGTCGATGCAAATACGACGCAAATTTGCGTGGGACTTATTCGATGCAAATTCATCGCAAACAGTGCGTCGATTTTGCGACTGATTGTCGCGTGGAAACTGTAAGGGATTTGTTTCGTCGAAAACGTTGCATGGAAACTGCGACGAATTATGATTTGCGACGAGAGTTTAGTGACGAATCTTAATTCGTCGCATAAGACATGCAAAGGGTCTTTTGCGACGCTTTTGCGAGGAATACCTGCCTCGCAAATGACATATTTTCTTGTAGTGCTATAAAGGATAACAACAAGAGAAATCTATTCATCGTCGTCATGCATTACTCGGCCTAGGTCCCGAGTCTTGTGTCAATTTATGTAAGTGACCAGCTAAAGATCAAGGCTTACTTGACATGCCGCCGAGGAAAGACAGACATACCCCTAGTCTTAATATGCTTAAGGCACCAAACATTAAGTCACGAGTACCGCATACTAAGAATGCAACACACAAGATACAATGAAACATATGGTTAGATATAACACATAGATTCATATGTATCTAATGCAAATAACCACACAAGTACAAAATCATTTATGTACGGATCACAAGGATCGCGAACATGATTCGGTACCAAACCTGCATAGAGATTCAAGTTAATCAACTAAGGATAAAACGAGAATCTAACATGCAACCTCACACCTAAACGCACACAACCAAGCAATTGCTCGATGATATGCCTAAGCACATCACCGAGACTTGGCAATCAACAATCAATAAACACAATAGCTACTCAAACCTATCATGTGCCATATCACATGCTACGAGACTCACCAATCAATCAACTAAACGAACTAATCAATCAACCAACCCTAACATGTGCCATATCACATGCTTCGAGACTCACAGAGATTCGGCTGAAGGCTTAACACAGTTAGGCTTCAACGATCTTCAACATCCACGGCTTCACAACCTTGTTCTTGACTCCACTCAACTTCATTCAACACCTCTTCATAGCAATCACCTTGATTCTTCAATGTTTAACTCAGAATCAACCCTTATCAAGATGGTAACTAGATCATGGGAATGATTCAGAGAAAACAGACCTTGCCGTCAGATCAGATTTCTCGGCAGGATTCTCGATCAGATAGCATCACGACACAGTTTTCTCGATCACAGACGCGGATCGTCACGGATTTCTCGATCACAACAACATCGCGGTACGGATTTCTCGATGACGGCTCTCGGTCATTCCTCTCGACTCCGCAGCAGCATCTCCGTATTTTTTCCTCCTTTTCTCTCCAAATAACTCGAACAAGGCTGAGTATTTATAGGCAGCGGAGGGTTGAGTCAGCACGTACGCGTGTCAGCCATACGGACAGACATGTACGTACTACGGACAGAACGACGACACGTGT